CCCCGCCCCGCGTGGTTACTGAGCACTGCGAGGGGCACCGAGACCCCCTGCAGCCGGGCGGGAGCCAGGTTCAAATCCGCCTCGTGGTGCTTACCGCGTCACTGCGGGGGGGGGGCTCCCCAGCTCCATAAACCCCCAATTCCAAAATCGGTTCTTTGGAAATGTGGTGCATTTACACCGAGCCACGTTTCGAGAGAACGCGCCGTTTGGGGGCAGCCCTCAGCCCGGGTTCCACTGGGATGCTGGAATAGCGCCCGCTGGCTTGGAATAACAGGCACCTTTAAAAGATGCGGGGCAGCCAAATAGCCCCGCTGGCTAGTGTCCCCAAATAGCCCCGCTGGCTAGTCGTGCCTTAGGAAATTAGGTCCGTATACGTGCACCGTGGCTTGTTAAGATATGGGGTAGCTGTTTTGGGATACCTCCATTATCCTGAAATAGCTGTGTAGTGTAGACGTACCCTGACGGATTTCATCCCCTTTCTCTTGGGTTTAATGACACATTCAAGTCAATTTAAGCGGCATTGTAATTTCAGTGGAATTTGTGCAAGTTTTAGTGGATGCTAAAATGTCCAAGGTTGACAGACTAAAATAAAGCCCCTCAACCACAATCCTCCTCCCAGGGGAATCAGTGGGAAGTTTGATACTAAGTGCCCCAGCCTCACTCGCCAGGGTGAGAGTTGGGGCTCCTTTCTCGTGGTGTTTTTTTGTTTTTAAAGGAGGGGAGAGGGTGTTGAAGTGTGTTTATATAGAGGGTGTTAAACTGTGTCTGATTTTAAATTGATCCTTGAAGTGTTTCATCTAAAGCCAGAGCTGTGTGATCCGGGGTAAAATAAAGACCTGATGGCGTCTTCTGTCTTTGTGACTAGTCTGATGTGGCTAAGAGTGGCAGGGGTGGAGAGCTGAGGCCTGCTCACTGGCCTATGTGAAACACAAGTGCCTGACTCTCATAAAATACCAAACATAGCACCCTCATCTGCAGTCTGACAGAGATTCCAAGCACTGAATGCATGTCAAGGCTGAATCCTGCTTGTATCTCTCAAGGCTCTTCCAGTCTAGGGCATGTTAACTAGTGGGAGGAAAGCTCAGATTCTTTGCTAATGTCGCTGTGCCTGTTCTTTGAGTAAACAGAGAACTTGGGTTTGTAATTTTGATAGACCAGTCCCTACCGGGATTGATAGATACTAAAGGTGGAGCTAAATACCAAAGCTGATCGTAAAAATGTATCTTGCCACATTTCTAGAAAAGTCCATTTTCCAGTAGCTCCTAGCACAGGAAGTTATTTCAGAAATTGCTGTTAATATTGCAAGTCCACTGGGGGATCTGGATGGGGTAGGTGATGTATTTCTAACGATGACTTTAGATCCCATTTGCTGAAAGGGGAGTATTTAGATATGCAGTAAAACTAATTTATAACTAGCTTACTCTTACATTTTTGTGGGTTGTTCCATAGGTAGTTTCATCTGCCACAATGGGTGAACCTCAGCAAGTGAGTGCTCTCCCTCCACCTCCAATGCAGTATATAAAGGAATATACAGATGAAAATATTCGGAAAGGTCTAGCTCCCAAGCCGCCTCCACCTGTGAAAGACAGCTACATGATGTTTGGTAACCAGTTCCAATGCGATGATCTCATTATTCGACCCTTGGAAAGCCAAGGCATTGAACGATTGCATCCCATGCAGTTTGACCACAAGAAGGAACTAAGGAAACTCAATATGTCTATTTTGATCAACTTTTTGGACCTCTTGGATATCTTGATAAGGAGCCCGGGCAGCATAAAACGGGAGGAGAAACTGGAAGACTTAAAACTGCTTTTTGTCCATGTCCATCATCTTATAAATGAATATCGACCCCATCAAGCCAGGGAGACGCTGAGGGTTATGATGGAGGTGCAGAAACGGCAGCGCTTGGAGACAGCGGAGAGGTTTCAGAAGCATTTAGAGCGAGTTGTAGAGATGATCCAGAACTGCCTGACCTCCTTGCCTGATGATTTGCCTCATTCAGAGGGAGGGATGAGGTTAAAAACTGAGCCCATGGATATTGATGACAGCAACAATTGTATTGGACGGACTGAACAGCGCAGAGAAGTTGCTGGCTGCAAGAAGGAACAGGTTTTAGACAAAGATGCTGCTATGTGTAGCATTATTGATGAAATGACATGAGAAGACACTCTTGTAATTGTACAGAATTCTTAGGGACATGAAGTGGACTGGCTAATAGAAGTCATATGGAATGGTTTGTTTGTTTTTTGTTGGAGGTTTTTTTGCTGCTTTTGGTATCTGTATATATAAATCATCAAGGAATTTAGTGTATATAAACATTTAACCCAGAAATCTTATTTTTGTAGACCTAGGTAAGGTTTTTGCAGTTGACCAAACAGAAGCATTGCTTGAAATTTTGTAGATGTAATTTCTATGGTGTGCTGTTTCGAACAGAAAAGCTTTAAATCTTGTGAAATATTTTGTTGAAACAAGTGCATCATGTCAGTTGAGTTAAGCTTTATTCCATGGTTGTATTATAGTTTCATTCAGTCACTTGCTGGTTTTATGGATGCACTTATTTAAATATAGGTTTGAGAAAAGATCAGTCTCTGTGGGGAATCTGGATTTGACAATTTCAAACAAGTTAAAGGTAACTTGTAAAAATGTTATGGTAAGTAACTATAAAACTATATTCTGATATAAAAGACGAGTTTATTGTTTACAATGTTGGTAAGTCAAAATTTCATTCTCTCCTTTCTAGTTTTGTAAAGTCAATATAATTGTCTAAAAGAATGCCTACTTCTGTTAGTGACTTATACAGTCAATGTTGGTATCCTAACTCTCGTAAGTAACTCTACAATAAAACCGGTGCAGGAGGCAGTCTCAGTAACAAAATAGTTTTAAATTTTCCAAGGATTAATCAACAGTATTCTTTTAAAAAAGAACTAGCTACTACCTCCTTTAAACATGCCATGGATTATATTCTTTGAATGCTAACATTGTTTAATACACATGTTCGTTGACAGTACCAGAAGTAAAAGCAGTGGCCACTTCTCTCTTAGCCAGTATCAAATCACAGACTCACACTCTGTGTGAAGACAGGCTGACTTATAAATGAATATTAACAATTATTGGTTATTTGTCTTCAGAACACTAACAAACTAATCCCAGCAAAAATTCCATTTTGTACAATGCTTTGCTGCCTATTTTGAATAAAACTGAATATAATTTATTTTAGTAACCTGGGAAGTGAGTCAGGCCCTACTAGATTGACAATTGTTCAACTGGAAAAACAAACCCCACCCTTATGTGACTCTTTTTCAGTATTTTTTTTCCCACACATGCTAGATTCTGTGCGCACCAGAATATATTCATGACTATTTTGTTTTTTTAGAAACATCATAGACTTTCAGAGAGAGAGAGATCAGTGCAATATCCTTTCCTTTCTCAATGAAAAATCACGGAGTACTATTTCCCAGCTGAGACTAGAGAAGCATACATGTTACTCCCATCCACTCACTCACTTTAGTCTCCATTAACATGGAGGCAGGAAGATTCTGAAATCAAAACTTACATTTAAAAGCACAGAAAAAGACTTGACTTAGACTTCAAAACCCCCTGAGACTTGTCTCTAAATGCGTTGTGTTTAAAAATGTAATCCACTTCATCTTAGGTTTAATGATACATTCAAGTAAATTTAAGTGGCATTGTAATTTCAATGGAATTTGTGCGAGTTTTAGTGGATGCTAAAACTTCCAAGGTTGCTAGACTGTAAAATAAAGCCCCTCAACCACAATCCTCCTCCCAGAACAGTCAGTGGGAAATTTGATACGAAGTTCGCTAAGTGCATGATCACACATTTTACTCACAAAAATATACTGCTACCAGCGATGAAGCTTCCCTACAAAACTGTGCCCTAGTTACTGTCACGAGGCCCATGCCTGCCCTACTGCCGTTGCCAGTCACCATGGTGATCTTTATGTTCAGTGCTTTTAATCAGTTTGTAGCCAATAGCTTTAAAGGCTATTCAGCTGAAGAATCTATTAACCTGTGCTTTCTGTATAAAATGAATGCCTGGGTAAGCTCTTCATTTGGTTCTTAACCCTGATATAGAGGGGCCTGGAAGTGTTTGATCATAGCTAATAAAGTGACTAGATCCTGAACTTTGACAACTAAGGTATTGAAACAAATAACATGTGTCTAATCATACTTGCTCACTTGAGTGTCTGATAACATTTGAGTATGAGTCTGTTTATACTTGGTGGTTTCAAGGTAGCTGTAAGTAACAATTTAGTGCTATAGGTTGAACCTCTGTAGTCTAGCACCCTTGGGATCTGACTGGTTCCGAACAAGAGAATTTTCTGGACCATGGGAGGTCAATATTGTCTAACAGCATTATCAACACTTCCACTGCTTACTGGGCTGTTAGAGGACATTTAGGGGTAAATTAGAGCTAAATAAGAGCATAGAACACTGAGAGCTAGGACTGGTGGCTGTAAAACTTCGTGGGACCGCAGGAAATGTGGCCCATAAAAAGTGGACATCTGGCTAACTAAAATCATTCTGGACAATGGATGTTGCTGGACAAGAGAGTTCTGGAGTAGAGAGGTTCAACCTGACTCCTTACCTAAGGAAATATTAAGGTGGGTGGTTCAGAAATATGTTTTGTTAATTTAAAACCAAGATCAAAGTTTAATTAAATTTTAAGAAATCTGGGGCACTTAGAGTCATGTAACTGATTACTGAAGGATTTTTGGGATGAAAGGAGATATGTTGTAATTTTTAATATCATACAATTAAAGCTTATCTGGTAACATTTTTATATGGCCACTGCTGACCTTTTGAGGAAAGATTAGATGGCAGCAGCGTCTCCACCTCAAGATTCCACCAGAAGAATGAAAAACGGAAACCTTGGCCTAGCTTTATGAAGTTTTATTCGAGTGTAGAAAGATTGAGGCCGACAGCTAGTAGTAATTTCAAAAGCACCTCCTAAGCAGGATGAATGTTTAAGTCCTGTTGAAAAAAATCTATCAAAATATGACCTGTATCCATATCTGGCTGTACAAAATGAAACAATGAGCTATAACTGAAAACTACTGCTATCTGAGGTCAAAATGGCTTTCAGCTTATGCTCTGCAATGTAACCTTTTTACTGATGTGCCTTCTAAAGTGGTAGTGGGAAATATTGCCAGTTTTTCTGCTGGAGCCCTATATTCTGAAAATATAACACTCCTAGGATCACATAATACACTTTCAGATCTTCATATGCTCATCAAACTGTATCAATAGGGTCAATAGATTTATGGGACCATTTGCATTAAGTCCTGCCCCTTGCCCATTCTTGATTTAACAAAAAAAACAAAAAACCACCACCACCCCTAGAGAAGTCGTGGGGTCAAACATTTAAAAATGCCTTCAGGAAGAACTGCACTCCTGTGCTCTGTTGAAAGGGAAGGTGGACTAACTATGGTTGTTGGTTGTGTGTGGTTCCGCAGACCAGCCACCTTACCTGTTGCTTGAGTGTTAATACAGTAAACTTCCAATAATCCGGCACCTTTGGGACCCAGGGGGTGCCGGATTATCAGATATGCCGGACTATCGGAAGGGGAGGCTATGAGGGGTCTAGGGTGGGAGGGTGCCACCCCAGACCCCTCATAGCCCCCCCTTCCGATAGTCCGGCTCTGCCCCAGGTGTCCCTGATTCCTGGAGTCAGCTGCTGGTCAGTGTCAGCAGCGGCTGATTGGGGACGCCTGGGGCAGAGCAGCTGGGGTGCTTCTGGGTTGGTCCAGTAGCGCCGCACCTCAGCGCTGTGGGACCAACAGGGAAGCCCCTCAGCTGCTCTTCCCCAGGTGTCCCCAAGTCAGACGCTGCTGATACTGATCAGCGGCTGACTCCAAGAAGCCCGAGGAAGAGCTTCTCTGCCCCGGGCTTCCTGGAGTCAGCGCTGGTCAGTTTCAGCAGCGGCTGAATTAGGACGCTTGGGGTAGAGCAGCTGGGGGGTTTCCGGGTTGGTCACACAGTCAGCCGCTGGTCAGTTTCAGCAGTGGCTGAATCGGGGACATCTGGGGTGCTGCCTAGGGACACCATTTCTGCCCACCCTGGCTAATACTCAGTGATAGACCCATCCTTCATGAATTCATCTAGTTTTTTACTGAGCCCTGTTAAAGTCTTGGTCTTCACAACACCCTCTGGCAAGGAGTTCCACTGGCTGACCATCTAACACAGGTACATAGTAGCAAATGGCATCACACTCTTTTGTCAGTACTCTCCAGTTGTTTGAATCCAAAACTCAATTCGGGAATTGGTTTTTAAATAAATTCTGACTAATGTTTTGTCACAAGAAAGCTCGAGCAAACACTCTTTACCTTATTGGACAAATTGGAGGGACACTCACTGACTTCAATTCCAAAAGGATTATGTATCCTGTTGTTTGATTCAGCTTCCGGAAAGAAGTCTTTGAACTGTTGCTTAAGAGCAATGAGATGTGCTTCGTCAGGTTTTTTGTGGTTTGTTTTTTTTGGTCAAGGAGCCACTTCATTTTCAGACAGAACATCTTCCGATTTGTTAGTTGGAACCTTAGAAGACTACTTGAATGGAACTCATCCACAGACCGCAATTTGAGAACGTCTGACCCAGACGTGAGCTGGGCAAATCGAGGATCTATTCTTCCTCCCTTCATTGGCCTGGCTAGGGTCAGGAGGCAAGGCTGTAATAGCCGCATATATGAGCATTTTCTGTGCTTGGACAGAACCACATCTTGGGCAAAAGCACCATGGCTTTTGGTGTGTGTCTGCTCTCACCTTCTCCCTGATGAGATTGGGGGAGAAACACACACCTCAATAGACCTGCCTGACATGGAAATATGTGACAGGCTTATTGGGACCATTTCAATCGCTGTTGTATGTTTGTGGGTCCTCCAGTATCAGACTCTCCATTGAGAGTAGTGCTGGGCCAGAGTGTAAGGTAACCCCGTAAATACTAGTTTGATAACAAATGTGGCATCGCAATAATCATGGTATAGACTACTAGGACTGGAAGGGACCTCGAGATGTTGAGTCCAGTCCCCTGCCCTCATGGCAGGACCCAGTACTGTCTAGACCATCCCTGATAGACATTTATCTAACCTACTCTTAAATGTCTCCAGAGATGGAGATTCCACAACCTCCCTAAGCAATTTATTCCAGTGTTTGACCATCCTGACAGTTAGGAACTTTTTCCTAATGTCCAACCTAAACCTCCCTTGCTGCAGTTTAAGCCCATTGCTTCTTGTTCTATCCTTAAAGGCCAAGATGAACAAGTTTTCTCCCTCTTCCTTATGACACCCTCAATCTTCTCTTTTCTAAACTAAGCAAACCCAATTCTTTCAGCGTTCCTTCAAAGGTCCTCTAGACCTTTAATCATTCTTGTTGCTCTTCTCTGGACCCTCTCCAATTTCTCCACATCTTTCTTGAAATGCAGTGCCCGGAACTGGGCACAGTACTCCAAATGAGGCCTAACCAGCGCAGAGTAGAGTGGAAGAATGACTTCTCGTGTCTTGCTCACAACACACCTGTTAATGCATAATGTACTTGACCAGTCTTAAGGGAAGCTGCATTTGCTTTCTGCAGTTACAGATGCAAAGTTGGAAGTTTCCCATCAAGGTATGTATAGGCTTGAGTAACTCTTGGGTGATTGAATTGTCCCCTGATGCTTTGAGACCTGGCTTACAATCTCCTGAGGTCACGGAGGGAAAAACTAGGGCTTCTGAAATGCTTCTGAACAGTGTGCTCCTGTAGCCAACCCATTTCAGCTGCAGCCATTGCTCATGTGGACAAGGAGAAAGGAGCCAAGCACTTACCACAGGAAATGCCCTCCCTGATGAGGGCTATGAGCAATATTCAGAATGGTTACCGTAACTGTCATTTGTGACATTAGGGAAGTGAAAAATCAGACGTTTGTCAAAAATGAACTTTTTTTTCCCCAAACCCTTGAAAAGTTTGAGGAAGATCATTCTCTGTCTTCTCCTCAGTTACCACCATGCCGCCTTGCATCATCCTGAAGTCGATCCTAACCGTCCTATTTACAGGTAACTAAGATGACTGAGAGTAACTGGTAGGGGATGGGGCTTTGATAGGTAACTAGTGACTAATATAGATACTGAGTTTTCCTATAGAGAACTGAATACGGAATGAACTTGATGTGTCCCAGTTAAGGTTGCTTATGTGTTGTAGTTTGCTGCTGACTCTGCAATTTCTGCCATGTAAATAACATGCCTTGAGCTGCTCAATAGCCTTCTGTGGTGCTCCTCTAGCTTTTTTTTTTTTTTTTTTTTTTAAATAAAACAAACAATGTCTGGGCATTAGGCTTGTAAAAATAATCACCCAAATGTGAACCATGAGCTGCTGGGTTTGAAAGTCCTCTTGACAAAGTGCAGCTGGCCTGAACATTTTTCTTTACATACCGTATAGGCTGAGTTCTGAGATCTGTATAACCAGGCCATTTAGACATGGACTTAAAGTCCTAATTTCACTTTTGGAAAGGTTTCATCAATGTCTTGTTTGACTTGTGGATTATTCCCATTGGAAATAATTTAATGTTTGAGTGCTTTTTAAAAATGCACAGTGAGCATGTTAGAAATGTTAAGGCAGGGAGCCAAAATAATGACTGTTTGCTGCATTTGTCATGTTCTGCAGTTTTACGCAATGAACAATGAGTCTTACAGAGATGTTGCTGTAGATGTGTCAGTCCCAGAATATTAGGGAGACAAGGTGGGTGAGCTAATACCTTAATTAGACTAGCTTCTCTTGGTCAGAGACAAGCTTTTGAGCTACACCGAACTCTTTCTTGGGTCTGGGGAAGATACTAACAGTTTAGCATAAGTAACCTGTTAACACCCCTGTCGTGAGTGGACAAAAATGTTTTTCGGCTCAGTCTATACTAGTGAACTTAGAGACAGTTGTAGCGATGCAGTTTTGCCACTGAGGGCATGTCTACACTAGGAAATTATTTTGAAATAACTAAATTCAAAATAACTCCCAAAATAACAAAATCAAAATAACATGTCCCCACTGTGGGGGACCGTTGACATTCGTCCAAGGCAGCACGTCCACAATAACGGCACTTGTTTCAACTTAGAGCCCCAGGAAGCACTGGGGAGTAATTACTTCGAATTATTCTGAGGAGTATTTATTTCAAAACAGCGACACCGGAATGTCCACACTCCTGTTACTCCAAAATAACTTTTTTGAAATGATCATTATTCTCTGAGGAAAGCAGGAGTACAGATTTCGAAATAACCAGCCCATTATTTCGAAAGAACGGGCTTGGTACTATGGATGCTTTGCTTATTATTTTAAAATAAGGGGTGTTATTTCGAAATAACTTCCTAGTGTAGATGTGTGTGTTTCTCAACCACAGAATTTGGCCCAATAAAAGACATTACCTCAGCCTCT